GGGAAAAACGGCAAATTTCTCAGGAATTATTATTCAGTCTTACTGTTTATGTTTCACCAAAGTGATGTATGTCACAAAACTGTAGAAGAGGAGCAAGGCACAAACTGGTTTCATCACACTGCTTCCTCTCCAAAATTATTAGATCCCATTATTTCCACCGTACGAAACGGAGAGAAAACTGGAATGAGACAGAATTCAGCTCCTTCTGCCCTTCACAAAAGTACTGAAAGGGATTCAAAAGTGCAAAGAATCTCATAAAAAAATAATATTTAGATTATCAAATTTTCTCCGTAGTTTATATTAGGAATGGTCTAAAGCTGGCATAGCATGTATTGAGAAGAAAGACCACAGCCAAAGGGCAGCTGTCTTTCACCTTCATTAAGGGGCAACCTGTTTTTCTAATGAAGTGCTACTGTGGAGCAACAGTCAGAGAGCAGAGCTTGAGCAACCAATTTCCAGTCCTACTGTAAATTCCACAGCTAGAAACACAATGACATAAACAGGAACCCTGTCAACACTTTTAATTTTCAATACTTTCCCTCCAAAACACTGAAGGTGCTGATAAAGGAGTCTTTAACACTATGTTCTGATTAAAATATGAGTTCTCAGGAAGTAAAGACTTTCCTTATTTCCTGGTGACTAGTATGGGGCATTAAAGCAAAAGGTGTCAATCTCAACTTGCTCTTTCGTTTCTCCAGTCCTGCTTCTTTAGCTGCAGCGATGCATGCAGCTTCCCAACATCTAAATATCTCAGGAGCTGCTGAATGAAAATAAACCCTCTGATTTTCTAGGTTACTACTGCAATTACTTCAGCCACATTTCATCCCCACATCAGAACGCACACAGTCCAACCCCTTCTTGCATTTATCATCCATACACTTCTAGAAATGCAAAAATGTTTTTAAATTCATTCTTTATGTTCCCAACTTCTTCTCATTGAACTTTATAAATAAAAAAAACCAAGCAATCAATGTCTTAGTCTCAAACTGTAGACTCACATTTGCCATCCTACTAATAAAACCTTCTGCAAGAGACAGAAGAACTCCATGGGACCTCTTTCATAGCAGCAAGATCAACCTCCTTTCCCCTCTCAAGTCGACTGACAACAACAACCTACCAAGAACAGTGAAGCTGATGATGTATTGTATCAAAACTGAAAGTAAAACTCTTAATTCAAAACCTGAATTCCACTACCAGCGTTCTGGTTTAACTTTGAACAGGGCTTCAAGAAAATAAGACATGGTCTTCCTAAGCCTTGCCTCTGACAAGGCTTTCTTAAGCCCACAGGCTCTTACATTTAGGAATTTTATTATAAAATTTCTTTATTAGATCTTTCATCTTCCCGAGTGTTGCAATTTCAGACTTCTTTTAACTAGATACCAAGTATCAGACTAAGCAAGAAGAACAGCAAAGCAGAGGAAAAAAGTAAATTTACTGTTACTACAGTAAATGTATGAGTAAGGATGTTACCTAAGAGTTCCAAATAGAAGTAAATGAAGACACAGAAAGCATTTAACAGAGAGAAGGAAGGAGAAACACCAGAAAAGCAAGAGGACAGGAAGTGCACTTTGTAGCAATCAAAAACGAGAGCTTGTGCACAAGCAGAGAAGCTGCAGCAGTGAAATGGTAGGCAAGAGGGATGGTGCCCCTTCCCACTACAGTTGGAACTTCCATGTTTATCACATGCCAGCCAGGTAGTGATGAAAACTATGGTTATTTCAGAAAATCCAGGGACCACCAGCCAAAACACAAAATTCTCCTTTTCCTATGCATCTACAATGCAAATACTCTGCTCCCATTATGGCGCTACCCTATAGCAGTTCCCTTTTTTACTGTGTTTCTATTGTTGTTACGGCTGGTCACTTTCACTGGTCATCATCAGCAAAGTCACCATTCCGAGCACTGCGTGTAGAAGACAACAGAAGGGATAAACTGGCAAAATATACTACATTGTCCTGGAAAGAGAAAATCGAGGAGTGAGAGAGGAAGGTAAAATACGGAGTATCATTTAGAGACAAATATATAAAAATGAAGTGTTTTAATTAAAATTCAGCAAACTAAGAATCAAGATGTTAATATATAAGGGGGGGAAAAGAGCGAAGCTAGCATCAGTTAATAAAAGAAGATATGGAAAATATTGCCTCATTAGGGATCACTCAACAGAGGAAATGCAGCACTAGGTATTTATTGGTTAAATTCTCTTTGATAAACACAGTTTCTGCTATCAAAGTCTTTTTAAAATGTCATTATCAGCTGTGAACGACAGTCTGTGATACCGGTTTTGCACAGCTAAATCTCATTATAATCCTATAATCACCTAATAGTTTTAGTCCAATAATTTATGTTTCTTCAATGCATGTGAAGACAGCGGTTGCAAGATGAACAGAGCCAAAGTCTGCACTCAACTCCAGTCCTTCGAGAGGGAAGATCTAGCAAGTCTTTGAGCCACCCAAGCTACATGCGACTGGTTATTAGACAACCCACAAATAACTTTGCATGGATTTAGCAATAAGCTATTACCCTCAATATCCAACAAATTTAGCCCCACGATGTGCCACAAACATGGATAAACAGCGATATTTCACAATACTGATCCCACAGTGGAAACAAGCACAGCATACATACTGCAGAACTTACTGTTCCAAGTTTTACACTGCACAGAAACATTTTTCTGGTGGTGTAGTTTTTGTACATTTAATGAATATAATAAATTTCAGAAACTGCAAAATTATACAAGTATTTCAAAGGCAGCTACGCATTTCCTGCTAATAAAAGATAAAACAGCAACATAAATTTTTTAATCCACGTTTTTAAAGAATTCAATGCATACAAGAAAGCACTTGCATGGCTTTGGCAAAGAGGAATGTTTATATTTATTCTGTAGAAAGAAGATTAACATGAAGACAGTTACATCTCATACACATGAGAAATTTCACGTGGAAGTTTCTTCCCTGGCAAAGCTACAAGTAGGCGTTACGAAGAAGTACCACAAAGGGGAATACAAACACCTCTCTCCATTGTGCCAAAGTGCAACGCTGTGTTAGCCCTGAGCAACCTTCCAGTCAGGTGAATTCTCCCCATTCACCTCCAGCAAGTACTCCACACAAAAGTATTGGAATGAAATGGTATACAAACAGATCTGCCAACATTTGTTCAGCACAAACCAGAAAAATACACTAAAAAATTGAAGAAAAAGTCTTTTCACAGGAAAATTAAAAAAAAAACCCAAACAACACACACACAAAACAGAACACCAACTCCAGAAACTCCAGTTCAATAATGAAAGTGTTGGTTTGTGGGAAGAAACAATAACCTACAAGTTTTGGGTGCATTTGGTTTTGTTTTTTTTTTTTTAATAGCATGCTGGAAACAGTATTTAATAAAACCAAAGAAAGCCTCGGCCAAATTTTGGGGGAGGTTGTTCTTGTTTTTTGAAGAGAGAACAGGAAAACTATTGTTAGCTGATGGTATCTGCCCAGCTTACATATTGCATGCTCTCTATTCTCAGGTTCCTGTGATTCCAACCTGTAAGAATTATGCAATGTTTTTGTAAAGCTGCAAAATTTAACATGGCTTTCAAAATTTACATTATGAAGCACTGGTCAGACAACAAAAAAACTCCAATGTTCATATAGGAAAAATTAATGGGAAACTTCCCGTTTTCATTTCTTGACAATGTAAAAAAAAGAATACCCATTTTCTCCAATGCACTCAACAAATTAATGGCCACAAGGACAGTATTTTTCATTTTTACATCATCTTCCTTTTGACCCTTTAAAAGTGGCTAAAAAGAGATAAATTGCCCTGTGAAATGAGACAAGAGTTACTTCAAACTGTAAAAAAGGATGCAAAAACCTCAGTGTGTTTGCCCAGGTTTGTACCTTCAAAGCCTAGAAAAACACACATACTTCCTGCCTTCACAACAATGGTATAAAAATTCTTTCCTTCTACCTTGTAGAGGACAAACTCACATACTCTCCATTCTGACTTCTCCACAAACAGCCTCTTGGTATCTGCAAACATCTATTTCTAACTTCCCACCTTTTATTATATATATTACATTATATCAATATAAAGCAGAGACTTCATAGTCCCTTCAAATACCCAGCTGTCAGGTAACCCAGTCAAATGAAATTCAAAGCAAAAATTGTACCAAATAAGATTTCCCAAAGTCTTACAGGAAAAGAGCTTCCTCCATACTGGCAGGGGAAAAAAAAACAAACAAAAACACACAAACCAAAACAACACATCCATCCAGATAATCACATACACCAGGTCAAAGTGCTGCTGTTCTGATAACTAACCTATTGCAGTAAGCTGTTTCCATCCCAGAACTGCAACAAGGGCCATGTACCTCTACCTTCTTCATTACCTAATTTATCGTTTAGATCAAGCAGACTGATAAAGACTATGGTCTCAGAAAAATAACACAGTTGTTTTTTTCAAAGCAGTATCTGGCAGTTACAGGACAGCAGAGAGCTAGAGCCACAAAAGACACAGGAAAACAGAAATAAATAAAAAAAGGAAGAGATGCATCTTTAAATACATCAGCTTTGCAGAGGCTGTGTCCTACTTGTGGGAGCAAACAGCTTAAGAACCTGTCTTGCACATGGGCACGTACTTGCAGATATGTGCAGCTTTACTGCTGTTTCGTTTGTTTTGTCAGTGAGGGGCACGAGGGGAGTGGGGTGCAGGCACATGTATCAGTTTGTGTGTGAGATCATAGGATAATTTCAGTTGGAAGGGACCTCAGAAAGCCTGTAGTCCAACCTCCTACTCAAAGCAAGGGTCACCTACAAGATCAGACCAGGTTTTCCACAGTTTTATCCAGTCCAGTCTTGAAAACCTCCAACATTGGAGACTTCACAAACTCTGGGCAACCTGATCCACTGCTTGGCTGTCCCCTGGGGAAAAAGACTCTCCTTGCACCTAGTCTGAATCTCTCCTGTTGTGTGTGTGCCTGTTGCCTCATCCTCCAACCACGCACCACTGTGGAGAGCTTGGCCAAGTCTTCTTGATGACATCGCTGTAGATATTGGAAGGCTGCTAGTGGGTGTCCTGAAGCCTCCTCTGAGCCAGTTTCCTCACTCTTCATAGGTCCCATGCTCCAGGCCCCTGACCATCTCATATACAATCATTAAATATCATCAGTCCATCCCACCTCGTTTGTTATCTGCTGACAGGTGATCACATTGATTTTGACTAGAGCTGCATTTCATAGTTTGTTTTACTGACTTTAACAAGTGGTGTAAATGCACCACATAAGGTGACCTCCCCTGCAACAGGACTTCCTCTGCTCAGTAATCATACACGCCAAACGATACCAGTGACCGAAACACTGCCTGCAGAAGCCTCCTCATTTAAAAGCACAGGGTTTTTAAGCAATAAATAGTCAGGGTATGCAACATCATCTCCAAGGTTCACAGAATTCAAAAAGAACACCAAATTCCATGAGATGTATTTCAGCAACCACTACACAGACGAAAATCTAAGACCTGCAGAAGGGCCTTAGAAAGCAACAACATACTTCACTATATTTTTCCCATCCTCTCGAGGCCTTTCTTGATTAAGATTTTAACGGGTCACGAACACTGGATCTTTAAATGACAGCAGGCTTTGAGAAAAACGAAGGAAAAAAATAAAACCCTTCGCAAGGCTATTTTTCAGGAAGTGTTCTCAATTTGTCGCTTGTAGAAAGACTGAGCTAAGCAACACTATTACTGTTCAATTTTGGTTTTGTTAAAAAATATAAAGAGATTTCATGTAAGTTCAGCAACTTTATTTTCTTTCAAGTAAGTATTTCTGCATGCAGACGCGGGGAATGCATACAGCTTATATATAGAAAGAATTTTAAAAACATCCACCGCCCCCTTATGCAACAGAAAGCTAAGAAAAAAAAAAATCACATGGACTATTATTCTGGCCCTGTCACCCTAATAATAACACAACAGCAGGCTTTCTCCAACGAGCTCTTTGGTTTTGTGCATGAATATCATTTCACTTGAAACAGAGTCCTGTTTGCAGTGTTGCTGTAACTGCAAAATTTTAATACTAATTTTCTGCTCCCGAATTTGGCACCACAAAAGTTTACATGCATATAAACTTGACCTGTTCCACCTGGTGGTCCACATGACAACTCAGTTCCTACAAAGTTCAGCATAAATTCTAATCTGCCTGAAAATACCAAGCAACTCAGCTGCTGAACACGTGACAGAGCCCACACCTAACAAGGCCAAACCTAGACAAGTACTCCAGAACTGACATGTGACCCTTCCCTGTGAAAAGGCTGGGCAGATCTGAGAAACTACACACTGGATAGTCAAGGATTATTTTTTTTTTTATAAAATTAAGCTGAAGCTATTTTTACATGTTATTTTTTGTTATCCAGTTACATTAACCAATTATCTCTAGTCACAGGAGATGCTATAGAAAGTTCTATTAAAATTATTTTATGTTTATAGCACTATTCAGACAGTTCCATGATCTTGGCATTCAGTTATAGAAACAGTATGTCGAAAACCCACTCTACAGCAACAGATAAGAACCAGAACTGTTCTGTAAATGGTATTTTCCTTTAGAGACCATTTATTAAAACACTTTTGCTATAAATAAAATCAGAAGGCTACAGGTAAAAAGTTTAACTCAACTTTTTACACAGAGCATATAACTGCTGGAGTAAACACGTAAACAATACATAGACTTCTCCATCACATAACTTGGAGTTAGCCGGATCAGATATTTACATGAACATGCTTAGTTCTCCAGGAATTCAACAGAAAAGCAGGTACAGGCCTCTACGCTTCCCAGCCCTAATCAATTAGCATCTAAGAAAAAACTCACTAGAAGCAACAACTCATTGTGCCATCCACTTCAGCAAAACCAGGCATTTTTCAAAGTGAAATAGCATGGCCAGCATACACCACGAAAATAGTCCGCTTCCATAAATAAAACTTTGCCTAACGATTTACTTCAAAAGAACAGCTCCTTTCACAATACACACGCTGTGTGCCACATGTAGTGTGGTCCTTGTGCCCACAAATTTCCATTTCGTAGCCTTGACTCTTACTCACAATATGACTGGGTGGTCCAGAGTCAGTTTTAAGGACTTCATTCCTCCAACTATTTGATACAGACACAATCGTACTTACCTGTTTCATGAACTCTGATTAAGGATGTTTTCTTTTTTTTTTTTAAATCAGTTTTGTGAACCTATGAAGTGTGATAACTGAATACAAACTAAATTCACTTGCATGCCTTCAAACTAAAGTAAAAGAAGTCTTTGGGCACAAAAGTTTGCCACATCAACACACCGATCATCCTGCACACGACACTGCATTCCATGCTACTCTGGAAATGCCCTTTGCTTACTACAGCTGTACAAGCAACTACAAGCAAATAAACAGAAACCTGTAAAAGCTTAGTTTGATTTCTGAAGAGAGAATATTTTCCTAAAATCTAATAGCTTTAACAGACTCCTTATGTGGAAATTCATAAAGTGCACATGTGAAACAGTCAATAGGTGCACTAAGTTTATAATTAGACATCAAAACATACTATACACACAAAGCAATTATGCTCTTAGCAAATACTGCACGATGTCTTCCATACCATTTTTGTAAATAGTCCAGTGCCTCCAAACGAGCACCAATCTCAAATGTGATTCCAGGACGATTTGGAGGCTTTTTACTCATCTTGATATCTTCTTTTTCACTACCTTTAGAGGAGGAAAAAAAAAAAAGTCATATTAAAACACATAGTGTTATCTAAACCATGTCACTGACAGCAAATCTATTCCAGAGGGTGGAAAAAGATGTGAAAATTCTATACTAACTTTCCATTAACTGATTAGTTTTCAGAAGCATAGTCAATGCCTGAAGAAGGCATTACATAAAGTTCACGTATTTTTATTCAGATTTCTTTCTCTCCCCAAAAAAGAAGCCATCAATTCTAAGTCAAAAGAAAAACCAGAATCCACCACTGGCGCTCATCTGTGAGACTGCACTACACTGTAACTTCTTGACATTCTTTTGGAGCATAATTTTAAGAGTTACACAGAGTCATTGTGTATTCTCTCCTCTGCCGTGGCAAAGGTCAAAGCCAAGACAAATGCACCTTACCAAGAACAGAAATTTAAAGACAGACACGGCCTAAAGGACACGTAAGATGACATTAGCAAAACCAAAACTACACAAAGAAAAAAGCCATCTTCAGCCTTTCTATGCGTTGCCAAGTCTCATCCATAGCACTAAGTTTCAGTCACAAGTGTCTTAATTTTTTTTTTTTGGTAATTCGGTCACTATTAAAAAAATTACTCCTCTGCGCGACTACTGCCGCTAGTACGGCGACTTTC